TTCATTGCAACGTCGATAGGGCCACAGAACATATTCACCATGCGTGAGTTGTCATCGAATGCAGGGTCAGCCAGAGCATCCTGAACAAGTTGCAGTCGTCTTCCATTCCTTTCTGCAAAAGACTCATCCTCAACTCCCTCGTCATCGAAACCACCCTGATCCAAATCGCCCTCCTGGCCCCTGTCAGCTCGAGCAAGAAGTGCAGCAACCCGTTTGGATTTCGTGCCTCGTCTGGACATGTTGGCTAGAACCCTTGGCAAAATGCGATGCAGGGAATTGCCCCTGAAGACATAAGAGCTTGCCGCGCCATAGTGTTTCCATCTCGAAAGAAGCGGAACTCTGAAGCCTCGGCCGAAGAGGCCAAAAAGGGCCTCCACCACTTTGGCAACAATTTCATCTTCAGAGCAAGATGAGCACTCGTGGCATTGTCCCAGGACACAGAAATGCACTATGTCGGGTTGCCAGGGATCTGAATTGCACATCTTCTTGTACAGGCGCTCAGCACGTATTTGGTACTTGGGCCTTAAAGTCTCAGCGCTCTCCAGGATTTTTGAAGTAGCCTGCGCCCACTGGCTGAAATCTGGAGGTGGCTCCTGGACCTCGACTCTGCGGAATGACTCCAGAACTGTGAAAGTAAGACTCTCTCGGAAGCGCTGCTTGAAGCTTCTACTCTCAAACAGATGAGCAAGCCGGACCAGAGTGGACCAGAAGTTGTTTGGAACCAACACCATCGGTTTACGTACCAGGGCCAGCTTGTGTATGTTGCAAGTAACATGAAACGCCAGTTGCACTTCTGTTGAGGCCAAGTCCTCACGAGGACCATTTCTGTTCTCGCGCGCCTGGGAAAGAGCCATGCGTTCTCGCCGGAAAAGTTTGGAGTTGGCCTTCAAGGAATCGAGAACCCAGACTCCACAGCTAAAGTTTGAAAGGTTCGCAGGCCGATGTAGCCCCAGGCGCGCCAAGCAAGAGCCAACGCCCGACGCGCAGCAAAAGCACCAGGAAGTTGCACTGCGATGCAAGGTCACTGCTGTAGCATCCTGTAAGCAGATCATTGGCTGGTGTATCCTGAAATGAACCAGCCCATCATCCATGGTTCGCGCATGCACAGACTGAACTCCATTCATTACCGCGTACACCGCCGTGGACCCCCCCTGCTCTGCCATCTTGATGTTCGTATCGTCCACAACAACTACAGCAATGACGTGCTTCATCGGCCGCAGAAACATTGAAACAACAGCGGACGCCAGTGCTTTGAAATAACTATACACCGCACGCATTCGCTGCTCAGGCTTCATCCCTTTGTCAGCATCATACAGGTCTTTGGTAAACAGCTGCCTTTGAAATCTCTCTGTTCTGCCCTCCTGATCTTGTTCAGCTGTCGCAGCTGCGAGTTCACCTTTCAATCTCTGATACCGATTCCGGCTACGGGCGGCCCTTGCTTTTGCTGTTTGAGCCCTGCGCTTTGCAAGCAGGATCTCTGACCCGGGCGCCGAACCTTCACTGGCCTCATCGACCGAAGCAGAAGAAGCAGAGGAGTCAGAGTCTGACTCTGACGATTGTGATCCACTGGAGGATTCTGTTTCTGCTGCGCTACAGCTTCCTGAAGGTGTAGCTGGTATCTGGCGCCGAAGGAGTGAAAACATCTTTGAATTTGAGTTTGTGTATCTTCTGACTTCTGACTCCTGACTGCAAACACAGCCTTACGCGTTGATTTGTTGGTTAGATAGATGGGTGATTTAGATGATTGAATATTTTGGGTCTTGAGCCCTAGAGGTGCCGCACGAACGTACTGCTGCACACTACCCTAGACTTGAACCCCCAAGAACAGCTTCCTGAATCCTGACGCCAGCGGCTTGAAGTTCACAATCCGTAAGTGCCAAGTCCCGAACATGAGTTCTGCTGTCCCTACTCTGTAGCTGTAGATGTCGCAACAAGGAAACGGCCCAATAGACCCAGCACCCTCAAAGTCCAAAGCCAAGTCCCACGCAAGGGCTCCCCAGATTTGAAATTTCTAGATCCCAAAGCTCTGCACCCTAAATCCCAGACTCGAAGCCGAAGGGCTGCGAGTTTCTCTTGGTTTCAAGCTGAAATCCAGCATTTATCAAACGCCCAGGGTTTCAAGTTACTGAACACCGTGCACGGTAAATTGCAAGCCCAATCCCGAACCTGAGGATTCCGAATCACCGTAGATTTGAGTCCCGGACTTCCAAACCCAAAGCCCGAGGGCCCTGAAATGCCCCAGTTTGCACCACTGCCTCTAAAGACTCTGCCCGGTCAATCCCAAACCCGAAACTTAGAACCAGATGACGAGATGTGTTCTTACAAATGGGTCGGGATCGTTTTTGTGCAGGACAGCTTGCTGCTAAGTTGGAAATGTACAGGGTTACACGCTGAGCATATGTTTCCTGGCGGGCATCTGAAAGTATTGTTTGTGCGTTGCATGCACTTCAATCCTGGCATTTCCAGTTGTTAAGGGCTAGGTATTTTCAATGTGTCTAGAATTGAACGCTGCGCCTCCACAGCATGAAGCGCCGCTGCTCGGTGCTTGCTGGCCGTCCCCAAAACCTCTCAGGCCGCCAGGCCGGTTAGAACACGTCGGAGTAGTAGCAGTAGCAGTAGCAATAGCAGTAGCAGTAGCTCCCCTAAACAAAACGCCTCGAGCAACTAGGACAGAACCACTAGGGCGAAGCCCACCCCTAAACCTATCGCCTTGAACCACTAGGGCAGAACCCCTAAACCTAACGCCTCGAACCACTAGGGCGAACCCCACCCCTAAACCTATCGCCTTGAACCACTTGGGCGGAACCCTATCAGCTACTGTGTCCTAACTGTAACCTCCAAACCGGGCACCTCCTCTATGACAGCACTGCGTGGACGTCGAAATCGAATGTGTCTGGCCACTTCTAGGAATGGGCGAGCATTTGGAGAATCCCAAGGATTATAACCAGCTTGCCAGCGGCGGGCATTCAAGGTACTATATGGTTGGCATGGCGGGCCAGCTACGAAGACATCCTGTCAGGGTGTCTTGGAGAAGTCCGAAAATTATGTTTTTGGGGTTTAGAATCTCAAACCCGTGGCCTCCGTCAGATATTCAGCACTGCAGGCAACACATGTCTTCCCTGGATGCAGGACGCATTCTCCGCCCTCGGTCTTCCAAGCATCGCCAATGTCCTTCCGTGAGGTAGGGCAGCCCTACAACAGCCAAAGGCACACAAGGAGATTAATTAATCTAGATCTAGCATTCGCAATCCGCTCCTTGAAAATGTGGTCCACAACGAAGTTGGCTTTCAGAACGGCTTGCAAAGCCGGGTTACACTCACTAGCCACGACCTCTCTGTAATCCGTACCAGTAGCATTGCACATCTGGCGCATGGTGTAGCCCGCAGTGCCCGCCGCAGAACACCCAGAGGATAGAACATACCTGGCTTAATGAAAATGTTGGGAACGAAGACTGATCTATTCTGGCACCCGGCCTGGGACCCACAATTTCTCATAAACCCAAACTGGCAAACCCTTGCTTGGCCCTCTACTCCTACGTAAACGATAAGTAGCAAGTAGTAAGCAGCAATAATACAATACTAACTAACGCAGCAACATAGTTGATGGCAATCGGTACCGGGCTCGAAGAACCGGGCACTCGCACCTGGGCATCACATGTGGACTGCGGACCGCACATGAGAAGAAGGCGAGGAGGGAGAAATGAAGAAGGAAGCAAGGGAGAAGGGAGAAAGGGAGAGAGTGAGCGGGGGAAGATAGAAAGCCCTGACTCTACGCAGAAGGAGGGCGCGTGAGAGGAAGGAGCTCAAACTCTTGCAGACAAGCAATCTAATTTTCAGTTCTAGCGACGAGGATCACAAGCCAACAACAGCCCCCCGAAATTAACAATAATTCCTGCATGCTGGGCTGAGGTCGCAACAAAGATCTGCAGATCGAGAAGCCAAAGTCCTGCAGGAAAGAAAAATGAACAGCATGTTTCCAACTGCACTCCCACGACCTAGCAGGGCAGCAGAGCTGATGTCATTTTCACCGCATGGCCGCATGGCATTGCGAAGTCTGCTCCCGCGAGCCAGAACGCAGAAAATCACTTTGGCCTTTGGCATCCTCTGCAGTCTTGAAGTTACGCAGTGTTCACCGCATGGCCGCATGGCATTGCGAAGTCTGCTCCCGCGAGCCAGAATGCAGAAAATCACTTTGGCCTTTGGCATCCTCTGCAGTCTTGAAGTTACGCAGTGTAGCGGGAAGATCACAGAGCCGAGCGCAAACTCGCAGCACAGCGGTACATCCACGGCTTGGGAAACACTGCCCACTTTTTTCTCAAGCCCACGGCTTGGGAAATACTGCCCACTTTTTTCTCAAGCTTCGTGCACACGAGGAAGAATATGGGAAGTCTGCCCATGGCGCGGCCACGCAGTCACTCTCTGGGCCGCGGTCGCTCCGGAACCAGATAGGATCCTTTCTTTTTCCTCTTTTCCATAGCCGATACCCTTGCCTTGTCCTCTTCTGCCTTTCGCTTGAGTCCAGCGCTTATGGCCTCGCGGGCGATCCGAAGCTGCTCTTCCTTGAACGCACCGTTACGAAGATCAAAAACTCAATCCTAATTAAACTACAACACTATTTGGCTCCGAAATCCCAAACCTTGTCTGTAAAAAGGACAAGAAGCAAGGTCTTCGTACGGCCGGATATGCAAAGAAGTGGGATCCATAAAAAATTTCGCACCGTAATGGAGGTGGACACGCCACAGCTGATACGGCGCCAAAGCATCGATTCCCGGCGGGTCGGGCACTTCCTGGACCTGGGGTCACTCCTAATTTCTAATCATTCTGGGACGCCCGCTATATGTTTATATGATTTATGATTTATGTGTAGACTTAGATACCATTTTTAGCTACGATCAAATTCAATGCCAGGGCCCTTGACTTAAAGAACGTAACGTAACATAGTCAAGGTGCGATGGGATTCTTGGGCTGAAGCTCGGAGACAACTTTGGCCTTAAAGTGCACCCACACCGTCTGCCCGCCGCGCAAGGTGAAGCAGTCCCAGCCATCTGCCCCATGCGAATCCATAACCACGGGCACTTCCAACAACGGTGTCAGGAATGCCGCCTCCTTACATGAACTTATCCTCGACCAAGCTTATAAAGGTTGATTTTCAACTTTGGCACTATTACTATTTATTATTTATTATTAAGTTAGTCCATTTCCATTTCGCAAGCCCCGTCACCGCTGGCAGAGCCGGACGCCTGCTGCTGCTGGATGGTTCTGCAACGGGCGGAATGACCTCCCTTTCAACCACCTTGATCTCCTTCTTCTCCACGTGCCGCTGCGGGATGACATATGGCACCTCCTCCCTCTCCTCCTCAGCTGCCTCTTCCACGGGCGGCGCTGGGATCAAGGCTGGTGTCTCCCTCGGCGGTCTCGGCGCCACCACAGCTGGTGCTTTAGCTGGCACCGGTATCGGAAGATCTGGACGGACACCAACCTTGGGACGAAGTTCCCCCGAGAAAATAAAGGGCCTAACGCCTAATGCGTACACCGTACACCGTATAAAGCATAAGCAGAAAGGATAGGATCAAGATCTCAAGCGACAGGACCAGCTGCACTCTTCGGCAGCCCAGGCGCACGACCGCCTCTGCGGCCGCCATAGTAGATCTCCCGCCAGTGCCGCATTGCCGAAAGGCGAGGCCGAAACAAACCCAATCTATATCCCAATCTACGAGTAGAATCCCAGTATGCCGCTACTCTGGCGTTAGACCATGCCGTTACTGTGCATTAAGATCAATCATGCCGTTACTGTGGCATTAAGAAGTGCCGATACTGTGGCATTAATTAAGTTGTGCCGCTACTTTGGCATTGGGAAGTTATATGCAGAGTGCCTGAGCTGATGCCAATTGGCCTTGTGCAGAGTGCCTTAGCTGGGATACTTACCGGTAATCTGAAACGAACACAAACTGCAACCTGTGACACTAAGTAAGTAAGTGATGTAGAAACCTTGTGCTAACCCCATAGAAACAGCCGGTAGCTGCGAAGTCAGACATGTTGCGGAATTGTGCAACAGATGACGCGTATTGCCATGCCTAGCTTTTGGGAGCCCATACATATGAGAATCACCTATTACAGGCCCCTGACAATTTGCATCCTTAAGACCGATCTGACTTAGGGCAGGGCTCAATTTCGTCCCTCAAGCTAAAGGGGGGCGGGATCTAAAGGTCCGACATCACCCGTACCAGAAACAATTGCAGGTACTAGTCTAGTGGCCCGAATAACTCCAAGCCAAAACCTATCCCCAAACTTCAGCCAACGCCGACCCAGGCGGCGCCAAACCCTCCAACAAGCCCTACCAACCTTCCCCAGTCCAGTCTATGAGGTATGTTGTTTTGGCAACAGGAATTTAGGTATACCGTAATACCGGGTTCAACGGTTTTTGGGAGGAGTAGAGCGGACCTCAAAACCCTCGACCCACGTTATGCAACCTCGCCTCAAGATATAATGTGCTACAGGATCCCCAAACGATTGGTTTGCCTGACTCCTCAACAGGGAAAAGGAATGAAAGGGGTGGGTGATCTTAGCTGGTTCAGTGCACATCTTCAAACGCCAATTAAACCTAAACCGAAACCTAAAGAAAGCCTTGCGGCCCTTGCATACTATTCCTAATGCCCGGCCCTCAGCAGTGTCCTTCACCGCATCATCTGAAGAACCATCCTCGAGATCGGGCCTGGGCGACACAGGGGATGGCGGCGGCGGCAGGGGATGGTGGTGGCGGGGGGCAGTGATGGTTTGCATGAACTTTGGTTGGGTTCCTACAATTTGAAGAGTCTGGTTTAGTTTAGGGTTTTAGGGTTTTGGGTAGAATGCAACATGCAAAAGCTAGCGACGGGCGGTGTTTTCAAAGGGTCACGGATTGGGTTTAGGGTTTAGGGAGGGAGTTAGGGTTTAGAGTTGCCACTTGAGCAGCAGACAAAACTTGTTGTCTGGTGGCATATGACCTATAGCCTATAGTCAAAATTCCCATGCTCGTGCTGCAATCTCGTTTCATGGCTCGTTTTACATACTGGGGAGCATGTTGGGGGGGACCATCTCGTTCCTACTAGGCTTGAGACCAACTGACCAGATCTGCACTTGAGTCGGGCCTTGGATTTCGTTTTCCAACACACTTGCATTCAAAGCAAACATGCTGATCTCGTTATTATTTGGGTGGACCATCTTAAAAGCATGATTTCGGGGAATGGGACATGTGTCAAGACATGGAACTTGAGTCTGTCGCGCACTTAGGTTCTGGATAGTGTGAATGATCCTTCCGCAGGGTAACCTACGGAAACCTTGTCATGACCTTTTCTTCATGGAGCTTTCGAATGCCACGTGCAGAAGCTGAGCACTGCGTCAGTGTGAATAAACGGCCACTCTGAGCGACGGGCGGAATGTACAAAGGGTTATGAGAGCCTCGGGCCGGTGTAGGGTTTTGGGTAGGGTTTAGGGTAAAAGGTAAGGGTTTAGAGGTGGTTTAGGGTTTAGGGTTTAAGTTTTTTTAGGGATAGTGGCTGCGTATGATCCTTCCGCACGTTTAGTTATGGAAATCTTGTTATGACCTTTTCCTTCGGGATAGTGCGAATGATCCTTCGGCAGGTTAGCCTACGGAAACCTTGTTACGAGCTCTCCTTCGGGATAGTGTGGATGATCCTTTCACAGGTTAACCTACGGAAACCTTGTTACGACCTTTCCTTCGGGATAATATGGATGATCCTTTCACAGGTTAACCTACGGAAACCTCGTTACGACCTTTCCTTCGGGATAGTGAACCTATGGAAACCTTGTTATGACCTTTCCTTCCGGATACGAATGATCCCTCCACAGGTGCCTACGGAAAATGCAAGATGCAGCAACATGCCAAAGCTGAGTGAGTCTGAGAGCAAGTCCCGTGCACGGCGGGCATCAAGCGAAACACAGGATTCTCACCCAGATCTTAGATGCTCTGTGAAGCTATGATATACCCTAACCCCTAAGCCCTAAACCCTAAACCACCATTTGCGCTGAGGCCAGGTTGGTTGATAGAGTTTTTGAAGATTCGCATATCTGCGGCAAGGAATTGACTTATGACTTAGGGATCTGGCAGCAGTGAATAAGGTGGTTCTGTACACTGGGTAGCAGTCGCGTACCTGTGCTCAACATACGCAGTACGTCTGGCTCAGTTAGAATATAAATTGCCACTGGGGGACGAGTTAAACCCTAAACCCGGAACCTTATAGAGCCCGTTCGGAGCCCGTTCGCATAAATGCACCAATGAATGGGCTTGGGGTCGAAATTTCGGGTTTTCTCAGACTAGGGGTGCCTCTAAACGTATTGTTGCAGTCAGGTTTTTGCACATAACACGGGCTGGATTTTCAAGGGGTTCCTGATAAAGCATACTCAGCACCATTGGATTTGTTGAGATGATTTCCCGTCTCCTGCTAGCACCAGGAATCTATCTGAAACCGAAAGAGGTAGTGGACGATTTCCACCACTCCCCTAGCTAGGATTATGTGGGGCTTAAGGCTTAGGGTTTAGGGTTCAGAGTTTAGGGTTAGAGGGTATGTACGCGGATATACTGATAGACAGCCTTGTGTAGGACCTAGGATTTAGGATTGGAAGTTTACTTGAAGGCTCATGGGTAGCTGCTGGTATCTATCCGGTTTAAGGCCTAGGGGTAGCTGCTGGTAGCTATCAGTGCGTTTTAGGTCACATAAGTTCTACAATGACAATTTTCCCGGCTCGCGCACCACCTGTACCCTTTCCCCTAAAGCCTAGACCGCTAAGCTCGCTAAGCCTTCACACTGGGATTGCCCGGAGGTTCCTGTGAATTTCCTGCTTGGGTCCATGAAGGGTTTTTTTAGGTAGGCAGATGGTCGTTGTAGGGGCGAATACTTTGCTTCAAATGCGGTTTAGGGCTTAAGGGATCGCATATCCGCCGACCTTGGGGGGCGTGTTGGATGGTTTCAGTAACGGAGAGGGTGAAAACCCTCTTACAGCCCAGAAACGCGGAGGGGGGTGGGGGGGGGGGGGGGGGGGGGGTA